AGCTGAGCAAGTTTGACCTCTGACTGGCTCAAATCCCAGATGTAAATTTAACTGCTAGTTTGGGAGGGTGGCGCAGGAGCAAAAGTGGCTATTGACGAAGTCGATCGATGCCACCTGCTAACGACGCCACCGCTCCAATTAGTGTAACCTCTAGCTGAGTCCGCACACACCGGGCTAAATAGAATGGCCAGAAAACATACAGTACATGCGAGGTGTGTGTGTGTGTTGGGGCTGAGATGAAACAAGGCTGCGGTGGATCGATAAGTGTTCCCGCTCTGTCTGATATCCCTCCTTTTTGACTGGGAATAGTGCAGAGATATAACAGTTGAGATATGAGAAACATGGCGCTGCTCTTGGAGCTTGTTTTCCTGCTCTTGCAGTGATGTGGGGGGTTTGGGGGCAGGCCACGCTAAAAAGGATGACTAACATGGCGTGGTTACCGTTACACTCGTTGGAGTTATTCATTCCAGGAAAACTAACACCGGTCAGTGCTAAGCTACAAGCTCACACACACACACACACACACACACACACACTCTCACCTCATCTCTCTCCCTTTCCTCCTCTTACACACTCACACAAACATGCACACACTTCTTTTTTTTTCCTCCTTTTTTCATCCAAATCTAACATAAACTTCTCATTTCTCAGAAGCTGTGCAGCCTTTGAGCCATCGGAAGTTAAGCCTTCCAACTTTCAAGCGAGACACTAGTTCCTTTCTTGAAAAAAATCAACTTTTCATCAAAACAAGACTGTTCTAATTCTCGGAGGGGGGGGGGGTATTCAAATCTGGCAACACTGAGTTTTTTCAATAAAATGCACACACACACACACACACACACACACGCACACACCTAGAGCCTATGCAGTGCAGTATTCCTCAGGACACCGGTGCAGACAGAAGGGTGAGTTGATGTCTGTGTGTGTGTGTGTGTGTGTGTGTGTGTGTGTGTGTGTGTGTGTGTGTGTGTGTGTGTGTGTGTGTGTGTGTGGAGGGGGGTGCCACATAAATCTCAGCGTGCTGATTATTTCGAGGGGAGAATATCACATAACAGCATCGTCAAGTAAGAGCACAAAGGTCGCTGTGTAATCTTAGCTACCCCGGGCATGCAAAATCATTAATCCCCGGGCACTGTGATTCTCCAGCTCGGAATAAACTGGAGGCCTTCAGCGAGGCGGGCGGCTACAACACCGAGCTGGGAGAACGTTCAGCCAAAGTACGAGGAGGCCGTTCTATGAAGTGGCAGTGATTTACTGGCAAGGGTGGGGGTGGTGGAGCTGGTGGGGCCGCAACACACGCAAAAGTGTGAAAACTTCAACAGAACGTCGAGATTTTTAAAAATGGTTCCCGGGATTACTCTGGAGCGCTGATGCATCAGGCGGTTAGAACAGGCCTCAGCCGTGTCATTAATACAAAAATAAATAAAGCTCTCGCAAGAGTTGAGAAATTTCCACTGAGAAAATTACAGCAGAAAATAAGAGGAAACTTCACGAAAAATGCACTGCATTAATGATAGTAATAGTAATTTTTTTAAAAACAACCCAAAAACGATTTTCGGCGTAACCGAAAGAATTCTAATGAAAATAAAAACAATGGGACAAGCAGAAAATTAGCAGTGAACAGAGGGATAGGCTGCAATGTGGTGTGGCTGGTCTGGCTCGCTTATTGCAAGGTTATAGGAGGTGTTGAGGATGGGGGCGTATGTGTGTGTGTGTGTG